ATTACAGGGTAGAAAAGGACAAATCCCCAAACAACCCTTTTCTCAACGTCTTCAGTTCTGGTTTTGTGATATTTTCGAATGAGCAAATTGTGATCAGCACCTGCAGGATGCACGTTTACAAATTCCCCTTTGACGTTCAGAGCTGCAACATCTCCTTCAGGTCTTTCATGCACTCCGGTGAGCCCTGCTTTTATAATCTTTAGTTATTTTAGCACCTTGTTGCTGCAACTAGCAGGATCTGAACTGAACTGTTAAATGAAATGTGCTGATGCGTGTTCAGTGATCCAGGTAGATAAATCTAACATGAGTCAGACGGGAAGAGCCCACCTGACTCAACCTCGTTAGTGTTCAATGAAATGCATTACCTCATAGTACACCCACACTTCAGATGAAGAATTTAAGATTTTCACTCATAGTTATTCTTTTTCCCCATTACAGATGATGAATTAGAGATTGACTTCTTTAAAGATAACAAATTACTCACGAAGAGGTCTAGTGAAGCAATACAGACACAATATGAGTGGCTGTTCATAAACCAGTCGGTCACCAAGGAAACTGACAGGTTTCACCACAACCAACCCGAGGTTGTTTACACAGTAAGTATTTTCTGGAGTGAGACATTCACTAAAGTCATGGTTGTTTAATATATTAATTTATTTTGCTGAGCTGAGTCGTTGTAACAAGTTTCTTTTGTTTCCTCTGATCAGTTAAAATAAATGCTTTATTGAGCATGAAGTCAGTTATTTTTTCAGTCTGACAAGAGCTGTATCAAGTTACTTCTGATGAAAACTGTTTCATATATTATATTTGAATGGATGCTCTGAATATTCATCATTCAGACAGAGACTGTGAAGTAATAATATTAATATTACAAACTGTAGACCATTGATGCCAAACAACTTCACCTTGTTGTGTCAGTGGACAAAACAAAAAGAAAAACCAAGAACTTGCGTTTAAAGCCTGTACCTCCCAACACCAGCATGTGCTTCTACTGTCAGAATTTTATTCTGTTTTAGAGAAATGTTTATTTTTTTTTTGTAGAAATCTTTCTGTTTTCCTGTTTCACCTACTAAACTAGAAAATACGCACTGCAGATTATTTTATTCTACATGAAGAAGTGTCATGTTGAACCATCCCACACATCCTTTCACAGATCATGATGAAGAGGAGGTCTTCCCTCTACGTTGCAAACTTCTTGCTGCCTGTTCTCTTCTTCTTGTGTCTGGACTTTGCCTCCCTCCTGATGTCTGAAGGTGGAGACAAGATTGGCTTCAAGGTCACGGTGCTGCTTGCTGTCACAGTGATGCAGCTTATTCTCAATGAGATTCTACCGGTTTCCTCTGACAGTATTCCACTTATAGGTAATAACTCTAGGAGTTTTGTCCACAACCAATTCATCCATCCATCCATTATCTTTACCCGTTTATTCCATTTTGGGTCACGGGGGTCGCTGGTGCCCATGTCCAGCCATCACTGTGCAAGAGGTGAGGGACACCCTGGACAGGTCTCCAGTCCATCACAGGGACACATAGAGACAAACGAGACAAACAACCATTCACTCTCTGATCCACCACGTCTTGTTACTTTACATTAAATACAGTGGTGCTTGAAAGTTTGTGAAGCTTTTAAATTTTTCTATATTTCTGCATAAATACGACTTAAAACATCATCAGATTTTCACACAAGTCTTAAAAGTACTTAAAGAGAAGCGAGCTAAACACATGAGACAAAAATATTATACTTGGTCTTTTATTTGTTGAGGAAAATGATCCAGTATTACATATTTGTGAGTGGTAAAAGTATGTGAACCTTTGCTTTGAGTATCTGGTGTGACCCCCCCTCCTCGTGCAGAAATCACTACAACTAAACATTTCTGGCAACTGGTGATCGGTCCTGCTCACCGGCTTGGAGGAAGTTTAGCCCATTCCTACAGAACAGCTTCAACTCTGGATGTTGGTGGTTTCCTCACAGAAACAGCTGCTTCAGGTCCTTCCACAACATCTGGATTGGATCAAGGTCAGGACTTTGACTTGGCCGTTCCAAAACATGAACTTTCTTCTTCTTGAATCATTCTTTGGTAGAAGCACTTGTGTGTTAAGGGTCATTGTTTTGCTGCACGACCCACCTTCTCTTCAGATTCAGTTCATGGACAGATGTTCTGACATTTTCCTTTAGAATTCTCCGATATGATTCAGAATTCATTGTTCCATCATTAATGGCGGGCCGTCCGGGCCCAGATGCAGCAAAACAGACCTAAACAATGACACTACCACCGCCATGTTTCATAGATGGGATAAGGTTCTTCTGCAGGATTGTCATTTCTCCAAACACAACACTTCTCATTGAAACCAAAAAGTTCTATTCTCCTCTCATCTGTCCACAAAACATTCTTCCAACAGTCTTCTGGCTTGTCCACGTGATCTTTATCAAACTGCAGATGAGCAACAACGTTCTTGTTGGAGAGCAGCTTCCTCCTTCAACCTGCCATGACCACCATTGTTGTTCAGTTCTCCTGATGGTGGACTCATGAACATCATCTTCAGTCAATGTGAGAGAGACCTTCAGTTGTTAGAAGTTACCCTGGGGTCCTTTGTGACCTCATTGACTACTCTATGCCTTGCTCTTGGAGTTATCTTTGTTGGTCCACCACTCCTGGGGAGGGCAACGATGGTGTTGAATGTCTTCCATTTGTACACACTCTGTCTGACTGTGGATTGATAAAGTCCAAACCCTTTACAGATGTTTTGTAACCTTTTCCAGCCTGATGAGCATCAACAACTCTTTTTCTCAGGTCCTCAGAAATCTCCTTTGTTCCTGCCATGACCCACTTCCACAAATGTGGTGAAGAGCAGACTTTGATAGATCCATGTTCTTTAAATCAAACAATGTTCCTTACCAACACTTGATCGACCTCCCATTGATTGAAAACACCTGACTCTAACTTCACCTTCAAATTAACTGCTAATCCCAGAGGTTCTCATACTTTTGCCACTCACAAATATGTAGTATTGGATCATTTTCCTCAATATACAGTATAAATGATAGAGATGCGCGATACTGGATTTTTAGCCGATATCCGATATATTAAAACTTATTTGGCCGATAAGCGACATCAGTACCAATATTTTTTTTCCTAGACCTACTTACAGAGACTACATAGCTTTCTCTGCTGTGGAATTAAAACACTACATTATTCTGCATGGTCTTTGTCAGTATGACCTGCTACCAAATGCAGATGCCAAAAAGGGGGCTGAAAATTATGTAACACTATGTAATTATATAAAATATAAAAAATAAAAAAAAGTGTCTTATATCAGTGAGTTATTTTTGATGGACTGGCCGATGTCCGATATTTCACTTTATCGCTAATATCGGACGATATCGATACCATGCCGATAATATCGTGCATGCCTAGAATTTTTATTTTTTATGCTGCATCATAAAAAATAATTTGTCATGGTCTTAGGAAAGTGTTTAACTAGCACTAAGAACCAACACTGCTATAGAAAAGTAAATCAGGCATTAACTCAGCTATCATATTTTGAGTTTCAATGAGTGGGTTTTACATGTTCCATTTAGAAGTGAAGGCAGAAAGCCTTTGTGTGACTTACTGAAGCTGTAAGGCTGTGAAGGTTCAGAAACATCAGTGAAATAAACGCTCTGGTTAGGAGAAGTTCTCACTGTATGAAATTCAGCCCATTTTCAGAACAGTTTGTAAGACTTGTCAAATGTCTCACATCTGGTTAATGAAAAGCGTCGACAGTCTCGCATAAGCACATTTGATACATTTTTACGTTAATTAGTGTTCTGAGCAGAAAAAGAGTGAAGGATTATTTATGTTCAAAAATGAAAGTCAGAGTGACTGATGTACTTGACGAACCAGTCATGTTCAGGTTTTGGTTGTCAGAAACATAATTTCAATACTAAACAATTTTAAGCATGATGGAAGTGCTGCATTGAACAAACTGAAAACATCAAAGCTAGTGGTGATGGAAATAGTTTGATTACAAGGCTCATGAAAGTGCTGCAAGTGGAGAAACAAAACATTCGAGCTTCCAGTCTGAAGTGGCAAAATGTGAAGTGGAAATTTCACATCATGTCATACACTGCCTAACTAAATACAAATTATGGGCCGATGGCCATTGAGTGTTCTTAAAGAAAGATAAAGGTGAAAAACAACATACATCATGGTTACAAAATGATTAACTGATAAGCTTCAGTCACAAGATAATCATTTTCTGGAGACAGACAGAAGTTTTTAATGCAATGGATCTGTATGAAAAGCATCCTAGAGGGCCTCTCATACATCAGTGTGTTTATAATTCCTCAAACATTTATAGCAAAATACATCATGCCCACAGAAAAACATGGTGAATGTTCTGGTAAGCTGTGACCCAGCTTCCCTGTCAGTCTGTGTCTGTAAGTTGCAGCTTTATTCCTGCTTGGGCTGCACAGTTGGAACACCATTGCCTCTAAGCAAGAAGGTTGCAGGTTCCACTCCAGGCTGGAGCGTTTTTCTGTGAAGTTTGCGTGTTCTCCTTCTTCATGGGGTTATAGGTACTCGCAGTTTTATTCAATAGTACAAAAACAAGCATTAAAAAGCTATTCTAAATAGGTGTGAATGTGTGCAGATGATTGACTTGCTTGTTCTTTGTGTCTTTATGAGGGACTGATGAAATATTCAGGGTGTACCCCACCTTTTGCACAATAACCTCTGGAAACAAACATCAAACCCCTGCAACACTGATGTAAAGAAATAGTTTGGCGTTACTGTACAATCCAAAAATATATACAGTAGTCCCTCGTTTATTGCAAGGAATCCGTACCCTGAAGCCCGGCAATAAGTAAAAAAACGCAAAATAAGAATAGTAGTACAAGCAGTAAGTAGTAGTTATATACAGTATATATATATATATATATATATATATACATAAATA